TGAGGAAGTGAAATGAGCATTGTGACAAGGTCAAAAAATGCAAACAAGAATGAATTAAAAAGTTGTAATGAGATGAACAAAGCCCAAAAAAATGGGGATTAGAGAAAATTACACAAAGACAACGATTGAAAGGCATAGTGTTCTGGAGTGTGTTTATACTAAGTAGTCAATATAAGACAAGTTAACTAAACTTTGTTGGGGAGAACCTCCTTATTATCTCAATTTCATCTACTTACCAGATCTTTAACAGGATCATCAATTGGCTATAGGAGTTGTGCACTGTGGGTGGGACCTTCTTTGTCAGCTTTGAGTTAGCAACCTGAACCCCACTACATCTCTGAAATTTACTAAGCACATGAGCCATTTCACAGCAATGGCTTGTGTGCATTTTTGAAGCAAAGAGAAAAGCAGACAACCTGGGCCACGTGGCAACTTGCCAGAAGCCTGAGAGCCACATCTAATTAGTCACAGCAGAAATTTTCAGCATTACTACCACATTAAAAAAAAAATCACCACAGCCTTTACAGAGAAGGTTGTTTTGTTTTTTAATACTTTTCATTTGGCAGGATTTGTTTATAGCTAGTGTCTATTTGTGCACTGTTGACTCAATTAGATGCTAAGAAAGAAAGGTAGGACGTAATTAAGTATGTAACCTTTTCCTAACAGGAGAGGATATGTACTATCCAGAAAAAACAGAATAAAATCAAATGGGATTCTAGACATTTGCCACTTTATTGGGATCAGAGGCACACAGTGGAAACTGCTCGATAAGTTTTGTCTGCTTTCTATGAAGTTCTTCACTGAAATGTTATATATGTCACAAACTTCAAGTGCTTTTCTAGAGACATTTGGAAACACCATCACCAAGGGTAAAACCACTGGGAAAATAGCTTTTTTTCTTCCTTGTTGTAAAATAATCTGCCAGAGAAAGAAAGATGACAGTCAAAACTAATGCCTAGCCTACCCTTAAAAGTTTTGTTAGAATAGCTACATCAGTGGTGGGCGGGAGGGGAGTCCCACATTTCAAGTATGCTGGCAAAAGGCCTACTGTAGAAGCAGTTATACCAACAAAAAAGTCCTTTTGCTGTTATAGCTTATTTTGTTTGGGGAACTGGACTAAGCAGTCTCAGCAAAAGAACTCTTGCTGGTATGAGCTGTATCTTCACTAGGAAGGTTTGCTGATATAGCTATACTGGCAAACTCTTTTTACTATAGACAAAGTCTAACAAAAGTGGTATGGCAAACTGATATCTAAACAAGAAGCTTGAACAAATATTCTTCGGTGCCATTGTCCTGACAACCAAAATGATTTTAGAGAATGCTCAGCACTGGGTAGCCCCGGATCACAATGCCATATCGCAAGAGACAGCATATTCTCAGTCATCTTTTCTTTGGCAGCCATGTTTGCAACAATGGCTTCAAGAAGGAAGTAGGTATCTGCACCATATTTGTAGCCACAGTGTTCCCATTTTGAGGGCTTCTCTACACACACACTTGCACTGGTTTCATTAAATTGACTTAGTTAACTAAGTGCAAATACTGCGTGGACACTTTTTTTGGCGTAGGAGTATTTCAGCTTAGTTTAAACCAGTTCCAAACCAACTTAAACTACACCAAAGAAAGCACTCTTATGCTGGAATTGGAGTGTTTCTACAAAAGTTTGCACCAATTGCATTATATCAGTTTAAATTCACACCTTATGTTATATCTGTGCAACTTTTCCATGTAGACAAGGCCTAAGAGAACAAACCAGTCCTCTCCATTGCCTGCTTACTTTATGGTATGTCACTATGTAACATGCAGTCTCACCAAAATGATTAACTGATTAATTTAAAAAAATCGCAAATGTCTAAATGTTTAAATAAACATTTGTGATAATCACTCTTCTATTCCTTTTCTATCCACCACCCAAATAAAACAGAACTTTTTCCCAAACACAACCACCTATCTCCCTCTCATCCCATCATCCCCCATTTTATTTATTTCCCTCTCTGACACACACCAACCTCCCCCTGCTAAAAAAGATGTGCTCAAATGCCAACTGCAGAGCATTAGTAGCTCTGCAGGACTGGAAGTGTCTGCAGGAGGGTGGCCGCTTTATTTAATTTCTCACGCTCTGGGGCAGAAACAATGCAATCTGGGGTATGATGACCTAGGACAATGCCAGAGCCCATTTGACGTAAATACAGATGGTAACTAGGTTACAGCAAACCTGATAAGAACAGGACATTAATTTTGGTAAGGGCAAGTAGACTTTTTGAGATGAATGAAAAAGGAGAAAAAGAGTAAATAGCTAAAAATCAACTGGCTGTAAAACAGGAAAAAAGTAGATGTGTTTCCACAAAGCTCTATCATTAGGAGGCAAAAGGAGTATATATTTTAACAACCCTACATGTTTCAGGACTGGTCCAACTCTCACCTTCTGGAGACTCACTGGACAAATTTTGCTCAGTTCAAGTCTCTCTCCTAATATTTATTTATTAATTTTTGCAGTGTGCAAGAAAATGCAGTGCATATTTTAGTTTCCTTCTCTCTGGATGATAAATTTGCCACATTTTAGTCTCTCCTAGTAGGAGGCCTTGGATAAGGCAAGAAATTGTGCTTGCTTTATGGTTTCTTTATCCATCTGTAGATTAAGGATTTTCATGCATATGCTACAGTATCTCTATCCCCTCTTTGGTGCTGGTGGGAATCGTGTGTTTTACAGACTTCCAAGGGATAAGGAGGTTTCCAACATGGAGATGGCAGAGATTGTGCTATGTGTTACAGTCTCTCTGGGGATGGGTTGTTACTGTGTGTGTGTGTGTGTGTGTCCGTCCATCCGTCCCTCTCTCTCTCTGGGGATATGGAGATGGGAGTTGTTGCTAAGTAGATATTACAGTCTCTCTCAGGTTATGAGTTGGTCGGGGTGTTCCTGTCTGTTACAGCCTCTCTCTTTATTGAGATGGGGGGTATTGTGCTGTGTGTTACATATAGTAACAATCCCTGTAGAGAGAGCAACTGTATGTGTTACAGTTCCTCTCTCAATAACCCAGAGGGCTGGTACTCTGTGTTTTATAACACTCTACACTCGCAGGGGTTCCCAAATTTGGTTTGCGGTTTGTTCAGGGTAAGCCCCTGGCAGGCCACGAGACGCTTTGTTTACCTGAGCGTCTGCAGGTACGGCCGCTCGCAGCCCCCAGCGGCCGCGGTTTGCTGTTCCCGGTCAATGGGAGCTGCGGGAAACAGTTGCCTGGTCCGGGGCCGCTCCCACAGCTCCCATTGGCCGGGAACAGAAAACCGCGGCCACTGGGGGCTTCCAGCAGCCGTACCTGCAGACGCTCAGGTAAACAAAGCGTCTCGTGGCCCGCCAGGGGCTTACCCCAAACAAGCCAAGAACCAAGTTTGGGAATCCCTGCTCTACAGGAATATGGGGGCATTGCTCTCTGTCTGTTATGCTTGTGTTAAAACTGCTCTTTCTGGGGATATCCAGAGGCCAGGGGAGGGTGCGTATGTGTGTGTGTGTTAGTTGCAGTTGCTCTCTCTCTCGATACAGAAGGTATTGCTGTGTTTATGTGTGTGTTACAACCTCTCTCTATGGGGATAAGAGCAGACATTTGCTCTGTATCTGTGTTACAGTTGCTCTCTTTCCATGGGGATAAAGGAGTTGGGTACTGCTCTAGAGCAGGGGTTCTCAAACTTCATTGCACCATGACCCCCTTCTGACAACAAAAAAAAACTACACTAAACACACGGGGGGGGGCGGGGGGCGGGGATGAAGTCTGAGCCACCCAAGCCCCACCACCCCAGGCAGGGGGGCCAAAGCCCGAGCCCCACCACCCCGGTTGCTGTGTGTGGGTAAGTGTCTCGGGGGGATATAGAGATGAGGGAGGGGATTTGTTGCTGGGTGTATAATACAGTCTCTTTCTCTCTTTAGGAATATGGAACAGTTGCTGTGTGTGCGCTACAGTCGGGGGGGGGGGAGAGGAGATGAAGCATTGTTGCTGGTGCACTACAGTCCCTCAGAGTTGTGGGGTTGCTAGTGGGTGCGTTACAGTCTCTCGGGGGAGGCGGAGATGGTGGGGGTGGGGGTTGCTGCCAGGCGCCTTACGGTCTCTCGGGGGAGGCGGAGATGAGGGTTGCTGCCCGGCATGTTACGGTCTCTCGGGGGAGAAGGAGATGGGGCGTGGGGGCGGGGGGTTGCTGCCGGTTACGGTCTCTCGGGGGAGGCGGAGGTTGCTGCCGGGCGCCTTACGGTCTCTTGGGGCAGGCGGAAATGGGGGGGTGGGGGTTGCTGGTGGGCGTGTTACGGTCTCTCGGGGCAGGCGGAAATAGGGTGTGTAGGTTGCTGCCAGGCGCGTTACAGTCTCTCGGGGGAGACGGAGATGGGGGGGGGTTGCTGCCGGGCACGTTACGGTCTCTCGGGGGAGACGGAGATGGGGGGGGTTGCTGCCAGGCGCGTTACAGTCTCTCGGGGGAGACGGAGATGGGGGGGGGGGTTGCTGCCGGGCGCGTTACGGTCTCTCGGGGGAGACGGAGATGGGGGGGGGTTGCTGCCGGGCGCGTTACGGTCTCTCGGGGGAGACGGAGATGGGGGGGAGGTTGCTGCCGGGCGCGTTACGGTCTCTCGGGGGAGACGGAGATGGGGGGGGGGGTTGCTGCCGGGCGCGTTACGGTCTCTCCCCTGCGCACGCCCCCATAAGGCGGAGAGGGGCGGCGCCATGAGGGAGCGAGTCGGCTGGCTGCCGGTGGCAGATGCCCGGTGCAGGCCGCTCTCGCTCTCCGAGCTGAGGCCCGTTACCCCCTTCAGAGCTAGCGGCGCGACCTCCCCTCCCCCCCACGCGGCCCCCTGCTGCCGGGCCCCGCGCATGCGGCCTGCGCTAGCGGCCTAGCGTTCCGCGGGAAACCCACGGCCGGGCGCCTACACCAACAATGGCGGCGGCGGAGGCTGCTGCGCCGCCTCCTCCTCCCCGTCGCGCGGCCCTGCAGGCGGCGCAGGGATCGGTCCCGCCCGCGCGTACCTGGTTAAACTCCTCGCCCACATCGGCGTAGATGTCTATGTGGTCCACACCGTCCGCCATGATCCCGCCCGCTCCTCGGGCCGCCGTCGCCGCCTCCACCGCCCGCCGCGCCCGGGTCTAGAGCCGCCGCCGGGGAGGGGGAGCCAACGTCACTTCCGGAAGGAGACGAGGAACTTCCGGTTACTGCAGCCGCTCTTGCTGCTGCCCCCACAGGATGCGCCTGAGCCCGCCCCAGGCTAGGGGGGAGGGGGTGTCACGCAGGCCGGCTGGGGAGTTTCTCTCAGCGATACCCGCGGTCCTTGCAGCCTCTCCCGACGCGGGTTGGAGGTTTGCTCTCTGACCAGGCTCCCCCACTCTTGGGGGCCCACCATTGTAACCAGAATTCTGCGTCATACTGCGGTGCTCGCAGGCCCCAGCCTGGCGCCCCATTGGGGTGAGGGGCTTCCCAGACTGCAAGTCAGGGGCAGATCCTGCCCCAAAGGGCTTTGAATCTCAGGTCCTAATCCTGTAACTAGTTGGGCGCAGGCAGGACCCAGTGTCTGCAAGGAGCCCTGGGCATTAGGGTGGGCCCATGTGGATTCGCAAAAAGAAAAGGAGTACTTGTGGCACCTTAGAGACTAACTAATTTATTTGAGCATAAGCTAATGGTGCTTACAGTCAAACAAATGGGCGGGGGGGGGGGAGGAGTATGCAAGCAGATGAGAGAGCAAATGAACCAAATGCGATAGACATTAGTCTCATTGATAACTCCCATTGTTTCATGTTCTCTATGTATATAAATCTCCTCACTGTATTTTCCACTGAATGCATCCGATGAAGTGAGCTGTAGCTCACGAAAGCTTATGCTCAAATAAATTTGTTAGTCTCTAAGGTGCCACAAGTACTCTTTTCTTTTTGCGAATACAGACTAACACGGCTGCTATCCTGAAACCTGGCATTGCTTAGTGTGTTACTGGATGGTGCTCAGATACTATGGTGATGAGGCCTGGTACAAGAACCTCCATGTGGCGGAATAAAATTGCCCATGATCAGCATTCTAAAATCATAAGCATGGCCATCATGCATCAGACCAGTGATCCAGGTGCTTCAAAGGAATGCAAAGAACAGGGCAATTTTGAGAGATGCATCCAGTCCCAGCTTCTGGCAGTTGGAAATTCAGGGACACCTGGAGCATGGGATTTGCCTCGCCGACTATCTTGGCTAAGCCATTGATGGACCTATCCTCTAGGAATTTAACTAATTCTTTTTTGAACCCAGTTACACTTTTGGCCTTCACAAGATCTCCAGCAATGAGTTCCACATTGTGTGAAGTACTTCCTTATGTTTGTTTTAAATCTGATGCTTATTAATTTCATAGGGTGACCCCTAGTTCTTATGTGAAGGGCTAAATAACACTTCCCTGTTCTCCATACCATCACCTTAGTGGTCTCTTTTCTAAGCTAAATAGTCCCAGTCTTTTTAATGTCTCCTTGTATGGAAACTGTTCCATACCCCTCATAATTTTTGCTGCCCTTCTCAGTACCTTTTCCCATTCTAACATAGCATACGTCAGATACAAAAAAATCATGAGTTTGTGTTAAATAACATAAGATTTAAAAAAAAATACATTTTGGCCCAGATCCTCACAGGCACTTAGGTGCCTAAATCCAATGATTTCAGAAGGAACTAGGTGCCTAAATACCTTAGAGGATCTGGGCCTTTGTACTTCTGTCTTCTGGTTTTTGAGGCATTAGGATTCCCGGTATTGCCAGCTCTCATGATTTTATTATCAGTCTTGCTTAGTTAAAGCCCTATGTTCCTGGAGACAAGTGTGATTATGCAAGACTCAACTTCAATTAAAAAACAAGTTTCTAGCCCTTGTGATTATAAAGAAAAGCATGAAAGTGTGACAAGTGAACAATAAAGGCTCAAAAAGCAGAAGGCAAATAAAAAGAACACACAATTTATTATTTATTTGTTTAAAATTTATTATTACATTTAAAAAATCGCATGATTTTTAAGACAATTTCATAATTTGGAGGGCCAGACTCACAATTCTTAGATGTTTGTGACTGACAATACTAGATTCACATTTTCAAGACTTTCTCTGCAATCATGAGAATGAAAAACTTAAAAAAAGCTTAAAAAAAAAAAAAAGCTGAGAGTTAACAGCAAGTATCCAGGAGCTGGGGCTTTATGAAAAACACCAAATGTTATGCTGTGTTCCCTCTAAGCTGCACGCTGGGGCAGCTGCCCAGGAATGTTTTGTAGTGCCCTGCAGTTGATTAACAGAGCCGCCCACATCCAGCCACAGCATGTATTCAGGTGCCCCTCCCTCACCACTGCTTCACGTTGCTCCTGCCCTCTGCCTTGGAGTCCCTGCTGCTCCTGGAACCCTCCTGCAGAGAGGGGAGTGCTGTTGTCAGGGTGTCCCCCCGCCCCTGTACTCCAGCAAGGGAGATGGGATAGCCCAGCTCTGGAGGACTCCGAGCAGGAGAGGGTCTGAGTCTGAACGCTGGGTGAGTGAGTGCTTTACCTTAAAGAGACAGCGCACGGTCTCTCAGAGACTTCCCAAGCACACACAATCTCTCTCTCTCTCTCTCTCTCACACACACACACACAGTCTTTCACACTCACCTCCCAACACATACTTCTGGTGGTGGTGTTTGTTGTTAGTACTTCTTTGTAGTTTCTGCAATGCACATATATTCTCTGTAATTTTATTCTTTCAAAGTATGTTATTTTAGTTTTTTGACTGGTCTGTGCATTTCATAATTTTTATTTCTCTCTTACACTTAAATTTAACTCTTTGAATAGTGAGCTCTAAAATGCGTAATCTGTCCTGGCTGGAGTAATTTTCCCTATGGTAACTTTTTAAAAATATACACTTACAGCCTTTTCTGTAAGGCTAGGCAAGCCCACATAACTGTATCCAACAGCACCATTTTTATATGCACAGAAAGACTCATACCACTGAAACTCTGTGGACCATCTTAACTTGACCTCCTCAGCAGCTTCTCCTTGGCTCCCTCTATTTTGGTGATGTGTGTTGCACACTGGTGGGACTGAGTAGGCCTTTTCCCTCTTCCGCTATGCTTCTTTCACACACAAAACTTGTAAAGTTAGTTCTACTGTTCTCATGATTTTCCTGGAGGATCATACAACATATGTCTCCTTGTGACAGACTCCTCCACACTTGTTTCTTATCATGCCCCTTTTTTTAATAGCGTGGGACTCATGAGCACGTCTTCCTACATTGTTTCCCCAGATAAGACCATGCCCTATAGGCATTTGTTACCCCAACAGGGGGATTGCTGCCTCTTTTTCAAATAATTTACTGCAGATGTCTTTATTCCACAGCACACACCAATGAGATCATGTGCCTCATTAATAGCATGTGTGTGATACAACCAAATATACCAATTTTTTGCAACCATCTTTTGTTACTACATCCATTTTTAAAGAAATTAATATGAAGCTCAGAAACTGGTTTATTACAAATAATACTTAATGCTCATGTCGCTCTTCATAAATTGATAATGCTGCACACATATTGACTAATTAATCCTCATACACCGCTGTGGTGCAGGTGTAAGCAGAGACAGGGTAGGCTCCACCCTGACATCTGGTGGTGAGGTGTGGCAAATTGTGGAAAAGAACTTCAGGGGCTGATCTCATTTGCATAGGCACACCCACCCCGCCTAGAATGAGGCCATAACTGCCCAAATGGTCACTTTGGCTGCTGTGGGATCCCCAGTGTCTCTGTTATTGGGGCGGGAAGAATAAAATGTTAGTACCCTGATTATGGGAACTGTGCTTGGAACTGTACTTGGCCTTTTTGTTATGATGGAGGACTCACCATCAACTGAGTAGCACTCACTAGGCAAGGGACATGGGTTCCAAAACTCTGTGAATTGAGAGAGACTTGAGACAGGTATTAGTGCCTGGTGGTGTAGGTCCCTTTGTGAGGGCCTGAAGCACCAACTGCACCTCTGTCTCTCTCCACTGTGGAATGTCAGAGCTAATTTTGGGTCTATTAAGAGTTTTGTTACTGGTACTGTGCTGAATTCACTTCAGCCTCATGGTGCACCAGCACTAAGGCTCCCACTACTATGAGCTGAAATCACTGAGAGCTGAAATCACTGAGCACTGTGTCAAGTAGTGGGGAGCCGGAAGATCTAGTGTGCAGCGGAGCTATTTGTGAGACGGCAGGGTGAGCGGAGCCGGTCGTGAGACGGCGGTTTGTTCGTGAGACGGCGAGCTGAGCGGAGCCGGTCGTGAGACGGCGGTGTGTTCGTGAGACGGCGAGCTGAGCGGAGCCGGTCGTGAGACGGCGGTGTGTTCGTGAGACGGCGAGCTGAGCGGAGCCGGTCGTGGTGGAGCGGAGCAGAGCCCTGTGAGGCAGTCAGCTTCAGGACACGTAAGGTGCCCCTTACCTCTTTCCCCCACACCCAGGCACATTTTAGCCAGACTGGGGAGTAACACTCTGCAGATGAACTTTTGAACTCCGGGGCTGGACTTTTTTTTTTTGGACTTTGGGAGATTTGTGGATTGCTGGACTCAAAAGACGTTTGGGTTCTGGGACTCAAGAGCCTGAGGGAAAGGATGTGGCCCAATTTTTCTGGGGTGGGTCGGTGTTCATGGTTTGGTTAATGAATACTAGTTGTGGTGTTTCCCCAATTTAATGCTGATGTTGTTTACCTCATGTTATTAAAGATTCTCTACTACACCGAGACGCCGTGCTTGCGAGAGGGGAAGTATTGCCTCCTTGAGGCGCCCAGGGGGTGTGTAAGATTTTCCCAGGTCACTGGGTGGGGGCTCGAGCCAGTTTTGCATTTGCTTTAATGAGAGAGAACCCCTGTGTACTGAACCCGGCCCTTGCTGCTATCAACTTGGCCTGGCAGAAGGGTTACACAGGTAAGTATTAAGGTCATGTTTTCTAGAGTTAGAAACTGAGGCCCAGAGAGATAAACTGATTTTCCCAAGGCAACAAAGTCAGTTAGTGGCCTGCCTTTGGACTAGAACTTGGGTGTTCCTAGTTGCTAATCAGCAATCACTTGCCATCAATTTTTAGTCAGGAAAGTTTTAAAAGTTAAATATTTCACTGAACTTGATAAAAATTCAGAGCCCCTGTGCACACTATATTTGGAGTGGAGCTGAAACCTGTGGATCTAGTC